GCCTGGCGCGCGCCACCTCGCGCGGACGGACCGACGTCCTTCCGCCCGCGCCCGGGCCTCGCGCCGCCGGGTGAGTCCCCTCGGGGCGAGGTGGGGGCGCTGTAGGGGCCTGGCGCGGCTGTCACAGCCCCAGGGCGGGGGGAGGGGTCCGGCTCCGGGGAGCCAGAAGCGCCTTGTGCTCGCAGCCTGCAAGCGCCCTTGCCCGGCGCCGCCCGCTCGGTAGATGCTGGCAGGCTCCGTTCTTTGTGTCTCCCGTCGGAGCCGCCGGAGGCGGGGGGCTTCTCGGGGAAAGTTGCCCCGTGTGTGTGTGCACAGGCGTGTCCCGGCCGGCATGCTCCTGCTTGCTTCTCTTCTCTTCCTCACGCGTGTTGCCCTATGTCGGGCACTCGGCAACGGGCAACTGCCTCGGAGAGACGGGCACATCACTGCAGGGGTGTGCAACCATCCCAGCCCGCGGGCCGCATCCGGCCCCCGAGCCGCGTCGTCCGGCCTGTGGGGCTCCCCACGGGTCCTGAAATTGGGGAAAGGGGTCGTGGTGGCACCTTCCCCTGAGCAACCTGGACACTGGGGAGGAGCCCCCAGGCCAGGTGCCTGGCTTGGGCAGGGCAGGGCTCCAGGGCCCTATCCTGGTGTGCAGGGGCTCAGACCAGCCCTGCCCCACTCACTTGTCCCAGAGGGCCAAAACACATCACCACTGATCTGCATTTATTTTTTTAAATTGATGCCTGGTGTTTTTACTTCCTTCTGCCCCTTGCTGCTTATGGAGCTGCATTTCAAAAAATAAACGGCCTGTAAATTGAATAAAAGGAGGGTCGGGGGGTAGGGGCAAGTGAGATCCAAAGCTCCTTAGTAGAGGAGAGAACATTTGCATTCCTTTACTTCAAGAAGCACCTTTTTCCAGGAGACTTTGATATATGAAGGGTTAATCATGCGATGTGCATAACCGTGTTGCTCTTGATTGCTAACAAGTCGGCTTGCTAGAGGCCAGAGTGCACCTTTTATAACTAACAGGCAAAAAAAGAAAGGGGGGGGGGGAAGCCACAGTTTCTCTGCCTAATGTGAGAAATGAAGTTTGTTCCCTTTCCACTAAAATATGTATGAACACATTTTAAATGAAAATCTCCTCTTCATCAAGTAGCAAGTAATAAAGAAGAAAATAACTTATGGCATTTGATGACTTAAACAAATTCCATTACATCAAGTCTTCTATATGTTAGAATAGATACAAGTTGAGCAGCATAGTTTCTTAGTATGCAGTATGCATGTTCAGTGACTGGCAGCTGAATTTTCTTATTATCTTCTGTCTCTAAAATTACCTTAAGTCATTTGGAGTCCTCTTTTCTGCAGCAGAGGCTTCCACACCATGGATAGTAACAGATGTACATGTATACACTAATTTAAATTGGATTATTTTAAGCTGGCTCTTGCTCTCCTCTCTCAAATTCATGCTGGTGTGTAGGGAAGAGACATCTTTCAGGAGTAGATGTTAGATGAGGTGGTGTAGCAGGTGATTTTAGCATGTGACATTTCTATTTGTTGAGGGTGTGGTGTCATTGCTCTTCTCTCTGTGCAGTGTGGTAGAGTCTGTATGTTAGGGCCTTTGTTTGTAAAGTGCCTAACACAGCAAACTGACTGTCACACTTGAGGCATTTATAACTTATGCATCAAAACAAGTTCTTGTTAGATATCCCCAAATATTTGTAGTGCAAATATTGTAACATGGGGCTTGTGCTCATAGCAGGGAGGTGAAAATGGCTGTAAGCAAAAGTGAAACTATCTGTGAATTGTCAATAAGCACACGGAAATGGAGAAAAATACGATATATATAAAAACCACAGTTTACTTGCTATTATGCAAACCACAAATAAGGACTTCCCTTTTTAAAGTTACTTTTTAACCTGGTAGTGATCCTTGAAAAAGGCTGCTGCAAGCATATTGTTTTGAATGGGTTTATTCTTTGATAAAACCCATCACTCCCAGTAATTTAAACTTATTTGGTGGAGGGAGGAGGCAAAAACATAAAAGAAAAGGTTGTGAAGTGTTTGGGATTGCAGAGAGCTGACAAAACTGAGGATTTAGCACTTGGCTTGTTGTCTCTCCTGGTGGCTTTTTGTGTGTGTTCCCATAAATGCCATTATGTAATAGAGCTTCTCTTGGCAGGAGTCTTTGTCACAGTAATTCCTGAGGTTTCTTGAGATACATAGTTTGTTTAGGAGAGTTACAGGAAGAACAATAGGGGAAAGTTCTTTATAACTAATTAAGGAGAGGTTTTAACCTTTATTTCTCATGCAGTGGGGATAAGCTCTAAATTTCTGGATCTCTTCCAGAGTATCTTTACTGTCCTCTGTTCAGCCTGTTTCTTTTTTTCTTTTTCTTTTTTTTCCCCTTGCTGGCTGCACTCAAGACATGAGGTACTGGCTTGCAGCCTGCGTCAGTATTGGGAAGCTGATTGCTTTGTCTCCTCTTCCTTGAATGGTTTACTACTAATCACTTCCCTGTTTCCGGTATTAAAGCAGAAGTGAAATTGCCTGTTTTCAGACACCTGAAGCATGGTTCAGGCCACATGCAGACTGAAGGCAGAAGCCCTCTCTCCTGTGTGCATCTGTTACTGGAACTTGTGCGCTAAAGGATGCAAAATGCTGATGCAGAGGGTGATTTGTATATTAAACTTGTAAGCCCTGGTGATTACTGAACAGTATAATTGTGGTAGTAATTTATGGCTGATATTTCTATCAGGTGCTTAGTAGAGAGAGAGTTGCAAAGAGGCCTTTGTCTGTCTTTTTCTTCTTTCTTCTATACAGCAGTAATAATTATTTGTGGCATCATAATCTCTAGCTATTTATGAGATTAAAGGAACACTGGCAGAGAATAACATTTTTAAAAATGGAAAAACACAATTCGTAAAACCACAAAAAATTGGCTGAGGGACTCTATAGAAAGAGTGCCTGTAACCTCTTTAAAAATAGGTTAAAATTGGCTACAATTCAAGGTAACTGTTTAATTTTCTAGCATTTCTTCTGAGTGAAGAGCAAGCAACTGGTCAGGACCAGGAAAATGAGATTTTTTTTTTTTTTTAGCTGAAAGGCCATTTAACCTACCTTAGAACTAGTCTTTTTAGATGGGAATACATTAGTGAATCCAGTGCTGGTAAAAGGTACTGGACAGGAGTCTGAAGCAGTCTAACCACACAGCAGTTACAGTGTGAATTTCCATTGCAGCTCTTTACCCTGTTGATCTGTTGGAGTCCTGACTTGGAGTGACTTTCTCTAGGGGACTTAGAACTGAGTTCAGTTTCGAAAGCTGTTTGCTTCTTTACCTTCTTGCACAGACCGAGACACACTAATCGTTAATGCCAATGATGGGCTGAGACTGCTGCTTTATTTCACATAGGCTGTTGAAGAGCCAGCCAAGATTAATTATTTTGGGTGCAACCAGCTTGTCTCAGATTCAGTATGGTGACCCAGAAGTGAAAGACTCTGTGTCTCAGGAGTAGACTAGTCCCAGTGCTTAACTCTTTCCTTAATACAGAGGGGCTCTTTCAAGCTCTGTGAAATGTGAGCTGCAATGCCATTAATAATCTGTTTCTTGGCTGTGCAGCCTGCCAGCAACATGCGTCAAAGTTCTGCGTTTGTAGTTGGTTGTGTTGCGTCATTTCTTTTATCTGTCTTCTCCTTTTCACCACATCTATCACTGCAGCATCTCAGCACCTGTGTAGCTTGCCTTGGTTCTGTGAAGGAGGAAATGTAGGCTGTTCACCTTTCCTTGCTAGCTTAGGAAGCAGTGACACTGTATCTACAGCCTAGTGACCCCCTTTTTGGAGGATTCCAGTTTTAATTCTTCCATTAAAGTGGTGCAGTCATCTCTTCCTCTTAACCTCATGTTTTCTGCAGGGGTCTGCTTGATCCCTACAGATTCTTCCCCTCAACGGGGTGTTTGGAGACTTTTTTCCTGCCCCAGGAACCAACCTATTTCTTGCATCTTTCTCTGTAATGGGCCACTTACAGGCTTTTCTAGGTAGCTGATCTTTGACTGATAATGGTAGATGAAGCTGGGCTGAATTCTCCTTGAAGGGTCAGCTGCTCTGAGCTAGTGGGGTATCTAACTTTTGTCCAGGAGTATAGATTCACAGAAACATGCGCATGTGTTTTTTTTTTTTTCAGTGTACAGACCAGAGAAGACTAAAAACAAGCAGAGAACAATCATGAAAAAGCCATATGTAATTTTCCTCCCCCAAATCTCTAGTCCCTGGAACTCAGTTATATTGCTATCAGTAAATTATTTAGTGCATTTCCAGAGAGCTCTTCTGCACCTTGAAATTCTGTGGAAAAAAAACTCCATTTTTCATTTGTTCACTTAGCCTTGACTAAGGACCTTTAAACATATGCAACTAAATTCTAGTTTTGCTTATGCAGGCGTAAATTGGAATTAATTCCAGCTAAACCCCAAATTAATGTGGATTCAGACTGATGATACATGTAGCTGTATTGGAAGGTCTTGTGGTACATGAGTAACTTAAATAGTGCCATGTATTTTTGTTGTTTTTTAGTGTATTTGTTTAGCAGGCCTGCAGTATGGTTCTAATTCTAGAAGTGGAATTTCTTTTGATTTCAGTGGAGTTCTTGTGGGTAAGAATAGCTGCAAAATTGGTCTTGAGTTTAGAACAGTGGGAACAGGTTTACAGAGTTTACTTACGCAAGAAGCAGACTTGCATCTACAGCAAGAAAGGGAACCTGATATTTGGTTTCTGTTGGTTGCAATATGAAAAAGTGTGCAAAAACAGGAAGTGACTAGTATTTTAATTTAGCTAGCTTCCCCCAGGACACAGACAGCTGGGTAGTTTTCAGAATTAACCTAGTAATAACAATGTGCTTTGCAGTAACGTATCAAATAGGCTTTTTTTCTGCTTGGTTTTGGTTCCTCACTCCATACCAATCAATGGCCATGTTGTCTGATGTCCCTTTCCCCCAACTACCACTCCCCAACCCCCGCCCCCAATCTTTCCTTTCCTTTCCTTTCTTTTCTGATAACAGTGGAAGACCATCTTGTAATCTGTAGGTTTTGTTGTGGCAG